CTAGGACTGGCAGCACGTGCAAGGTCAGACTTAGGGTCAGGAACGTGCGGAAGAGAGGACACTGGAGGCTCAAGCAGGACAACACGCTTTGGAACAGAGGAAGGACGAATTGCCATACCGTGAGTGCGTGGGACAACAGGAGGACGAGGTCGGGCGACACGACGAGCACGAAAAGGTGTAGAAGCACGAGTCTCAGGCTCATGACGCTCAGTCAGGGACCCAGTCACCTCAGTGTGAGGAGCAGGCGCAATCAGCAGGGAGCCAGGCAACAGCTGTGGCTGAGAGAGGTCTGTCGGTGGACACAGGAGTGGTAGAGGGAGGCCGGTGGAAGACGGGAGACTAAGAACATGGCGAAGGATCGAGTTAGGCGGCGGCAGGGTCGTCTGCGGGTGTGGGTAGAAAAACGGTCGACGCGGGTCAGTACCACTAGCTCCAGCTCCTCCAACACCAACAGCACCAGCACCTCCAGCACCAGCAGCTCCAGTAGCACCTCCAGCACCTCCAGCACCAGCAACACCACGAGCTCCTGCAGCGCCAGTACCTCTAGTACCTCCAGCTCCCGCGCCTCCACCACCACCAGCACCAGCACCTCCAGTGCCAGTAGCTCCAGTAGCACCTCTAGCACTAGCAGCACCACCAGCTCCGGCAGCTCCAGTACCTCTAGTACGAGCACCTCCAGGACCAGCAGCTCCAGCACTCGTAGCACCAGCACCTCTAGTGCCAGCAGCTCCAGTAACCCAAGCACCTCCAGCAGCACCTCCAGCACCTCCAGCAACCGCAGCACCACCAGCTCCGGCAGCTCCAGTACCTCCAGTACGAGCACCTCCAGGACCAGCAGCTCCAGCACCGCCAGTACCTCCAGCTCCAGTGCCTCCAGCACCAGTAGCACCTCCAGCACCTCAAGCACCAACAGTACCTCTAGGACCAGCAGCCCTAGCACCTCTAGTACCTCCAACTCTAGCGCCTCCAGCACCAGCAGCACCAGCACCTCTAGTGCCAGCAGCTCCAGTAGCACTTCTAGCACTAGCAGCACCATCAGCTCCGGCAGCTCCAATACCTCTAGTACAAGTACCTCCAGGACCAGCAGCTCCCGCATCTCCAGCACCAGTAGCACCAGCACCTCCAGTGCCAGTAGCTCCAGTAACCCAAGCACCTCCAGCAGCACCTCCAGCACCTTCAGCACCAGCAGCACCACCAGCTCCTGCAGCTCCAGTACCTCCGGTACGAGCACCTCCAGGACCAGCAGCTCCAGCACCTCCAGTACCTCCAGCTCCAGTGCCTCCAGCACCAGCAGCACCTCCAGCACCAGCAGTACCTCCAGGAATAGCAGCTCTAGCATCTCCAGCACCAGTAGCACCTCCAGTACCTCCAGGACTAGCAGCTCTAGCACCTCCAACACCAGCAGCACCTCTAGTACCTCCAGCGCCAACAGCACCTCCAGCACCTCCAGCAGTACCTCTAGCACCTCCAGCAGTACCTCTAGGACTAGCAGCTCCAGCACCAGCAGGACCGTACCCTCCACCACCAGGACTACCTTGCCAAACGATCCACGCACGAATCGCCCGTGGCGAGAGCGTTACAAGTAGATCAGGCCGCGGTGGCTGTCCAGCTCAAGGGCCTCCAGCAGGGTCACCCACAGCTCCACCGCCACTAGGACTCGCAGCACCCCCAGTCGCAGCACCCTCAGAACCAGCACCCCCAGTCGCAACACCCCCAGAACCCTCACCCTCTATCTCAGCACCGCCAGGCTCAGCACCATTAGTCTCAGCTCCAGAGTCCACAGCAGCAGGCTGCGGAGGCGGCGAAGACAGCCGAGGTGGAAAACCAGGGGGGGCTCCAAGCGTAGAGAGTGGCGAGTGGCCGCCATGTCGTCAGCGGCGGGGTCACCCCCCTCAGCCAGGCCAGAGGAGTCAGAAGAGATCTCCAAAGGCTCAACCAAGGGGGGTGGGTCTACCTGAGACACACCTGAGGGAGCAGGACCCTGCGGGGGGAGGGGGTCTACCGGGGGGGGGGGACTTGTACTGGGAAAAGAGGCGCTAGGTGGACCGGGTGGGACGCGTGCGGGTGTAGCCTGTTGAAACAGACAGACTCATCAAAGGTGACGTCCTGGGAGGAGAAGACTCGACGCGTGCGCGGGTGGTAGAACTGCCATGGCGGGGCGTCGGTGGGGAAGCCAAGAAAGACGCAGCGGAGAGTGCAAGAGGAGAGCTTGCTTGCTTTGGCATCGCGAACAAGGGAGAGCGCGCCCCAGACCCGAAACACCGACGCATCGCCAACCTCCCCCCCTCCACCGGAGTTTGGGCGAGGTCTCTGGCTCAGAGACACGGGGCCAGAGGTTGAGCTGATGCGCAGCGTATCGGATCGCAAACGGCCACAGAAAATGGGGAGCAGCCGCAGGGATCATGGAGGTACGAGCAACCTCCATGATCAAGCCAATGCTACGCTCAGCAATCCCATTTTGCTGAGGAGAGGCTGGAAGTGTGAACGACTGGCGGATGCCCTCGTCTCGACAAATCTCCGCAAGGAGGTCAGAAGAGAACTCAACGCCCCTGTCAGAGTGCAGACGCAAGACTGGGAAGTCCCGACGAAACCGCTCGCACAGCTGGCAACGAGTAGCACGGATCCAGGGGATCAAAACACCGCTGACGTCCACCTTGCACCGCAAAGGGGAAGACAGTGGTGTAGCGCGTGTAGTCGTCAACAACCAAGAGGAAGTAGCGCTCCTGGTCCGTTCCACCGATGGGGGCTGGGCCCCACACGTCCATGTGGAGAGTCTGCAGAGGATAAGTGGTCGGAGGAAACTCGGAGTGAGGAGCGGTGCGCTGCCGCCCCTCAACGCAGGGAAGGCACCGTGGTGCAGGCGAGCGCGGGAGGGAGGGCAGGGACCTGGGAAGGCCATAGACAAGGAGACGGGAGTGCATGCTGCGGAGACGCGACAGCGAGGGGTGACCTAGGCGGTGGTGCCAGAGGAGAGTCTGGTGAGAGATTACCCCACACGAGCAAGACGCTGCAAGCAGACCAGACGCAGACACCCGACTCGACGCAGCCACCTGACCTGACTCAGCCACTTGTGCAGACGCAGTGGTGAGGGTGTACAGACCGGACCCAGGCTGACGAGTGAACGTAGCAAGGTGTCGGCCAGTCCGTGAGCACTTACGGATCGCCACACGCTGTCCTCCAGGAATGAAGGTGTCAACCCATTCATCCTGGAGAACTGCGTTGCTCAACAAGTTCGTCGATAACGCGGGGAGGTGGAGACCTGAGAGAGACCCGGAGGGGACTACCGGGCACGGGAGGAGAGTGGAGGCTCGCGCAACTACTGGGCCCCTAGTGGGGTCAGCCAGTGAGACTGGGACAGGTGCTGCGAGTGGTGTGACTGTGGTGCAATCACGAAAGAAGCAACGTGACGCGCCTGAGTCAAGCGTGAAAGTGTGCAAGGCCTCAGCTCAGGCAGGACATGTGGCAGTAGACACACTAGCACCTAGATCGTCGGCAAACTCACGAGCACCTAGAGCTGCAACAGACTCACCAACACTTGGAGCGGCAACAGACTCACTAGAACCGAGAGCAGCAACCTCTACATTACCAGGGACGCATCGCTGAGAAGCACAGTCGCGAGGTCGCTGAGGCCACATAAAACCAAAACCTCCACCACCAGGACTGCCTCGCTGAATAACCCATTCACGAAGCTGCTGAGGGGTGGGGTCGTCTGGGAGAGGCAATGACCACCGCTGTCCACCCCTGGCCGCTGCAACTACCGTGATAGTGGCCATGACAGGCAGTAACTGTCAGTAGTAGGTCCAGCACCTCCAGCACCAGCAGCATCTCCAGTACTCCCAGCCGCACCTCCAGCACCTCCAGCACCAGCCGCACCTCCAGCACTCCTAGCAGCACCTCCACCAGCAGCAGCAGTACCACGAGCAGCAGCAGCAGCAGTAGTAGCAGCAGGGCGGCTCGGTGGGGCTGGGCGGTGGCACCTCCAGCACTCCCAGCAGCACCTCCACCAGCAGCAGCAGTAGCACGAGCAGCAGCAGCAGCAGCAGTAGTAGCAGCAGGGCGGCTCTGGTTGGGCAGGGTGGCTCGGGCTGGGCGGCGCGGCTCGGCCTGGGCAGCGCGGGCAGCAGGGCGCGACGCGCGGGCTGCAGCAGGGCGCGACGCGCGGGGCAGCAGAGCGCGACGCACGGGCTGCAGTAGGGCACGACGCGTAGGGCAGTAGGGCGTGACGCGCAGGTGCAGCAGGGCGCGACGCGCAGGAGAGAGGGGCGCGCGCTAGGCATGGCAGCAGGGCGCGACGCACTGGGCTGCAGGGCAGGGCAGTGCGGCTCGCGAGCTGCAGGGCAGGGCGGCGCGCGGGCCTAAGGGCAGGGCAGCGCGATGCACGGGCTGCAGGGCAGCTGGGCGCGGGCTGCAGGGCAGGGCGGCACGCGCAGGGCAGGGCAGCAGGGCGCGACTCGCAGGCTGCAGCAGGGCGCGATGTGCGGGGGGCAGGCAGTGCGAGTAGTTGCAGGGCAGCGCGACACTGTGCGAGCAGGGCCGGACAGCGCAAGGGCGCTTCGGGCAGGAACTAGCGGAACTATGGGTGGCCCCTAAAAACTTAACAGGTTTCCTGCTCTGAATACCATGTCAGAATAACTATGGAGGAATGATTGGATTAGCATGAGTTGGGGTACAAATACTACCGTAACCCTTGAAGTGCTGTACCCCATAAGGAGTGCCCCACTAGAGCCTACAAGTAAGATTGTACTTTGACAGTAGCCTCCGCCTCATGTCACCTCTGCTCTTTTCACCTCCCTTCGTTTGGGTCATGCCATATGCGTTCGCTATTGCTCGGCACCCAACCCAAACCCGTCGTATTGAAGTGTAAAAAAGAGCCGTTCTGACATACATACCAATCACACCCCACCACAATAAAAGGTGAGCTCATGACACCCCCTTGCTCTACATGATAATTACTCGTCCTAGTCATACAGGTCAACATCCTCCACATCATCCTCATCCTTTTAGTACTCCTCTTCCTCTGACATGTAATCTGAGTCTCTCGCACTCTCCTCATCATAGTCCCGGTGTCTGCCCCTCCCACTCTGTGAAAGTTTCTCTCTCGACCCGCCCTCGCCCCGCCTGGACGTGTTGCTGTGGTGAGTGCCATGCTCGCCTCCTCTCGCCCCCTTTGACGACTCCAGGGTGTTTATTCTCCCTAGCAGCCGCCCCTTCTGCCCCTCTGCATCCCTCCCCACCCCTCCATCCGCGCACCCATCTGCACTCGACTGGAACGTGCGTGTGCGGTTGAATTCCCTTTGCTCCGACCCCCCGCCACCACCTGCCATGGTGTTGGTGCGTTTGAACTGCTGCAGGTCCGCCCCCAGAGCCTGCTCAATGCGTGTCAGCGTGCGCGACAGCTGCGCGTTGGACGCCGCCGCAGCGGCAGCGCGACCACGGCTGTTGGCACACATAGTCGTACTGCGATTGAACGCGCGCCCGCCGCCGCCATCCCCCATGGTGAGCGTGCGCTGGAAGGTCGGCACGGACAGCAGCTGCGCTGCCGGCTGCTCCGCAATCACAAACGTCTGCTGCCTGGCCAGGCTGATCTCCGTCTTCTTGCCCTTGCCCGTCTCCTCGTCGTCATCGGGGCGTGCGCCGCAGTAGGCGAAGCAGGCGATGAGCAGCAGCATGAAGACGGCAATGAAGACGCCGAGCGCCACAAAGGCCTCCATGCGCAGGTTGTCGCGCAGCAGCGAGAGCAGCCCGCCCTGGCAGTACGGGCAGCTGTAGCACAGCTGGGTCGGCTCTGCACTGAACCCGCTGCAGTTGCTCGTGCCGCGCTGCACCGTGGGAGCAGCGTCGGCGGAGGGGAGGGGGAGCTTGGGCATGGTGGGGAGGTCGAAGGCGAAGGAGTAGTACACGGGCGCTGACATGTTCAGGCCCCCCAGCACACAGCCCTGGGGGGGTAGACAGCACCCCGCCTGGCGCGGTAGGGGCGCATTGGGGGATGGGGAGAGAGAGAGGGGGGACGGGGGGCAAAGGAAGGAGTGGTAGGTGAGTGGGGAGGTGAATGCTGAGGAAAATGGAGCACTGAATGATTGACTTTTTTGAGTCGACTCAAAAATGGAGCACTGAATGATTGACTTTTTTGAGTCGACTCAAAAATGGAGCACTGAATGATTGAAAGGAACATGGAGCACTGAATGATTGAAAGGAACATGGAGCACTGAATGATTGAAAGGAACATGGAGCACTGAATGATTGAAAGGAACATGGAGCACTGAATGATTGACTCTGCAGTTGGCGCGGTCGTCACGCGTGGAAGCGATAGGCTGTTTCCACTACTCCTCGCGCTCCATCCCCCACTCCCTCCCCGCAAACCCGCATTCTTCCGCTTCCCGCACCACACCCCTTACCTCGAGCGGGGACAGCTGCACTTTCTTGAGGTTGCGCCCGATGTAGTTCCGCACATCCCCGCACGTGCGCGCGCCGCTGAGGCACGAGGCGAGCGGCGGCCAGCGGTCCCCCGCGACCTGCTGTTGCATCCACGCGCTGAACTGCGCCGGCTCGAACACCGTGAACCCGCGGCTCTTCTCCGTTGACGCGCCGCCCGGCCCCGTCACCACCAGCGCGAATACTGCGCAGGGGGGAGGGGTGCGCGGAGGGGAGGGGGAAGAGGCGAATGCGCGCAGGATTTGTTTCGCGCAGGTTTGGTTGCTTGCGGTTTGGAATCGCCTGGTTCGCATGTGGATTGAATTTAATGCAGCGGCTGTGGCGTGCGACAATGTGCGACGACAAGCGACCAGCCCGCATTTGAACTGTGGAATGCGGAACAAATTGCGACTCGAGGATAGGGACGCGATAAGTGGAGAAATACGGGAGGGGGAGGGAAGACGGGCCGAGGGTGGGGAAAGGAGGGCAGTTTGTGGGGGGAGAGGGGGAGGTGGGGGCTCGGGGACTGAGTGGCGAAGGCGAGGAGGGCCCACATGGCGGTGAAGGAGACGGTGAGCTGCATGCACACGAGGCCCGCGTTGTCGCACACCAGCGCCAGCAGCCCCACCAGCGCGCCGATGAACAGCGCCGCGCCGATCGCCATCAGCGGCGTCTGGTACACGATCAGACACGTGCTGGGCGGCGAGCTCCACGTGGTGTACAGCGATACGCCGATGAGGGCGAGAGCGAGGCAGAGGATGAGCGTGTTGGCGATCGCCGTCAGTAGCTTCTCCGTCCTCATCGTGGCCGTCCGGCCTCTGCTCGTGCCTGATTGGCCTGATTATCCGGATTGTCCGTAAAATATATCAAAAGAACGCCTGCCTACGGCGACACAACACCGCCTGCGATGGACGCAGGGCCGCGAAACCGCGTCGCGCACTCTTCTCTACACCCTCGCCGGCGAATGTTCTCGCTGGTGCTGCGAATGCCGGCTTCGGGAATCTGCTTCGTTGAACCTGAACCGTCCGTTCACCATGTACGTCGATTCCCACGGCGCAACAGCAGCCTTTCAGTGAACGAGAAGGCTCGATGACCGATACGAGTTGGCGTGGCGCTTGACTAATCGCTTCAAACCGTTCGAGTGCTGCAATGGTGAATGCGAGTGAAAGGGCGAATGGATAAGAGCCCAAGAGAATGCTAGCAACAACGACTGGGGCGGGGAAGCATGCTGAGATGCACGGTACGGCGTGAATACACTCTTCTAGGAATGACGACCGCGATGGCGGCGTCATCCCCGGCCGAATTCCTTGAATCAACATCGCTCGTCGCATGAACATGGCGTGGCACCATCTGTGACCAGCTCGGCTCAGCTCAGCTCACTGTACGTAGTTTTCAACAACCGTCGGGTTCACCAACTAGGGCGTACATGGCGCAGCAGTGCAGTGGTACGCGCGCAGTAAATGCTGCGGCAGGCCAACGATGAATTCCCCATCTCCTGCGGCAAGGCGCGTGGCAGCCAGCCCACACAGCAGGCGGCCTGAGGCGAAAAGATTCGGGTGCTGGGGCAGTTCGAGTAGGAGGGAGGAGGGAGGAGGAAGAGAGAGCTACACGACAGGGACGCCAGGCTGGGAATTGCTCGCGCTATAATCAGCTTGGGGATTCGGCTACCTCCCAAGCCGTTCTATACAGTGCGAAGCATCATCGCCTACCACATAATTACAAATATATGTGAGCATTATTTACAAGTGATTTCAATGGGTGCAAAGGCATCACCTACCGCATTCACCCACGCAATTGGCTAACCCAGCACAACATAACAGAGCACACTCACAACAGTCCCCACACGAGCCACCGCCAGTGCAGAAGCTCCCACAAGAATAATCCTCCTCCCTCATCTCTTCTCTCGCCTTCTCTCGCCTCTCCCTCATCAACACAGCATGACCATACCCTCCCACGCCCAGCAGCACGACCAGCAGGCAGGCAGCAGATAGGCACATGCAGCCAGCGAGAGAGAGGTCGTCCCTCACCACTTTGAGGAGAGCTGCCTTGCACGTGTCACAGCTGAAACACCTCCCACCACCGTCAGGGCCGGCTCCACTGCAATCTAACAAGGCCGTGGAATTGGCGTGAGCAGCAGAGTTGGGGACGGCTGGCTGAGAATGGTTCTCAGCGTGCAGTGACTCTGCCACAAAGGTTGCTGCTGGTGCTGCTGGTAAGAGGGCGACTGATGGGCCAGGCGGCAGGGCAGGTGACGTGGAAAGGGCTACTGTGTTCTTCTTGCTGCACGGGGGAGGCGGGAAGCAGCACCCGCTCTGAATGACCGATGGGCTTTGAGCGTTAGAGCTACCAGTACCAGCTGCAATACCACTGCTGTTCCTGCTGCTATTGCGTATCCCTGCCATCTCTCCCCCAGCATCCCCCCATGCTGGTGGCAGGGCAGGGCAGGAGCTGTTGGAGAGCAGGCACGTGCGCATGGCCTCCCACGCCTCAGGCTGCGCCACCAGCCCCTGCAGCCACGGCGAGAAGCCCGCCACGTCATACACCGCCTGGCCTGACGGGCCCACCGTGGCGCTGGGGGACGGCGCTGCCACTGCCAGGGCGAACGCTGCAGAGGGGGGGATGGGGAAGAGGGGGTAGATGTGGGTCCAGAAGGGAGAAGGGGTAGATGGGGCTTTAGGCGAGCAGGGGGAATCAGACGAGCAGGCAAAATTAGTTACACGGGGCAAGGAACTCGGCCAGCGCTGGTGCTCACCTGAGTATGCCAAAAGCGCGAGGGTGAGGGCGGCGGAGCAGCAGAGGAAGAGGAACTCGAGGCACCCCTCGTGCACGAGCGCGCCGATCAGCCCAAATATGCTCGCGCTCAGCAGCACTGCGCCCATCGCGTTGCTCGGCGTGTCCAGCCGCTGCGCGCACGCGCTGCCACTGCTGCTGGCAGTTGGAAGAGTGGCGCGGAGACGGGGAAGCGGGACGGGAGGGTGAGGGGCTGCGGGGAATGGATGGAACGTATGGGCGCGGGAAGCAGAAACCCCTGTGCGCTCGTTCAGGTGTGCGCAGGCGCGCAACGGCAGAAGCGCAGGAGGGAAGGGAGCAGGGGGTGGGGAGGGTGCGCGCAGACCTGAGCGCGAGGTAGATGGCGAGCGCAATGAGGCCCATGGATATTGCCGCCGCCCCGCCCGTCGACACCACCATGAGCGCTCTCGCCGCCTTCATCGCTGCGCACCGAGCGGCGTTGTGGTGTCGGGAGACTAACACGTGTTCAACCGATCTCCTTGTGGTTCAATCAGAAAACGAGCGGACACTCGCGTGCAGGAGCTCGCGAACAGGGCGATGAACTGAGACGTGGCAGCAGAGACGCGCAGAAAGGCGAGGGGAAAGCAAGGAGGGTCGATGGGTGATGGTGGCGAAGACTGAGCACGGAAGGGCTATGCGGTGGCTGCGACCTTGGGGCGTGCGAGGCGGACACGAGAGAGCGAGGCTTTGAACTTTCCATCTTCGCCGGATCGAGGCGAGAATCCATAAAGGCTAACGGTGAACAAAATGGCGGCGGCTCATGTAGTGGGGACGACAGGAGTGGCTTGGCGGAAAGGGCGGGATGGGTGGTGCCAGGAAGGCACGGCGGGTTTGCCGTTACAGCAGGGAAGGGGAAGGGATGGGTGGTGCCAGAGGTTTGGAGCGCGGGAAACTTTTGAAATTCGTGTGACATTCTCGAGGCTTCAATGGAATAACCATATATATTTAGCAGAAGCTACAGTGAGACGTCTTATTTGAAATGAAGCCAAGGAAGTAATATTTGACCAATACAGAGCACTCAATTACAATATTACCCCGCCAGAACCAGCTTGTGGAACTTGTCTAGGCACTGCAGGGCGAGGGTGAAGCAGTGGTCATCGAGGAGCAGCACGAAGCGGCAGTAGCCGGGAATGCTCGTCCAGTCGCTGTTGTTGATCATCAGCCCTGTCGTCGAGAACAGAGCCTCGGATATATTGACACTATCAAGGGTGACTGTGACAGGCTGCGGCTCTTGATCGCAATTGGTTGATGGCGGCTGGTAGGTTAACTGCTTGCCCTCGTAGGCTGTAGGGCGTGCCACCAGGAATATTCCGCCCTCTGGTCGAATGGGGTCCCAACCACAGGTTGACAGAACCTGCGCATGCGAGTGAGTGGCCCATCGTTAAGAGCCCACAGCCATGGCTGTTACCTTCATGCTAGTGAGGCGTGAGTTGCTTGAATCAGTGGCAAGAGAGTTCAAAACTGTGACATAGTGTAGGTGAGGAAGCAGAGAGAAGTGGGAGAGGGTGTGCAGTGGCCCACCTGGCAGAGCTGGGCCGCCCTCTGCTGCAGCTGCTCACGCCTCACTGCCATCTCACCCGCTAGCTCTGCTGCCACCTGCAGAGGCACCAGGGGACATGGGAGGCAGTGGATTGGTCAATGGCGGTGAGAGGGGGATTTGCAGCTTGCAAGGAGTAGTTTGACATAGAGATGCCAGCCATTGGCTGGTGACTGACACAGCCAGTGAATGGCATCCTTGCAGCCGGCTCACCTCGGTGGATAGCATTCGCTTGACAGCAAAGCGCAGCGTGCGATGAGGTGGCACAGCGGTGCTGAGGGCCTCCTTGAAGGACGAATCCCAGAATGCCACGTAGGCAAACTGAATGCCCAGAGTGGACAGCTGCGGGGACGGAGAGCACAGGAGATAGGGTCGAGATGGGGAGAGGGAAAACGGAGGCGGGCAGGTGCGTTGAGTTTGCGTGGTGAAGAGGGAGTGCGGAGCATGTGCTGAGAGTGGAGGTGTGCCCTGGTTCTCAATCAGCAGCGGTACGAGCTATCGGGGTGGCCAAAGGCAGCAGTGCCTGTACCTGAGGCGACAGATCCCCCATGAGCACCAGCGCATAGCGCCTGTGTGCCTTCTCCCTCTGCTCCCCCTCTCCCTCCCCCTCCCCATCCACGGCATCCCCCGTGCGGCCGAGGTAGGGTTCGAGGAGCAGGTGGGATTGGGCGTGGAAGGTGAGGGAGTGGAAGGCGGAGTCGAGGATGACACGGGCGCCCACGCGCATGCACACGGCCAGCAGCGAGGCGAGCTGGGTGGGAGAGTAGAGCGCGCCCGTGGGGTTCACCACCGGCGCTGACAGCACCAGCCACGGGCGCGTGACTCCTGCTAGCGCTGCCTCCAGCTGCCAGCAGCGGGGGGGGGGGGGGGTGATGGGTGGACGAGGGGGGAAACAACAGGTGGGCGAGGAGAAGGACGGGATATGATGAGAGGCACGAGAGCAATGGAAGGGGTCAGGTGAGGAGGCAAGGGGGCGGCAGAGCATGCAAGGCTCATGTCTGACTCCCTGTGGCAGCGCACCTGGTCTGCAGTGAGTGTGAAGCGCGCTTCAGCCGAGGTGACGGGCAGCACCTTGACCTCACAGCCACACAGGCGTGCCACCGCCAGACACGTGCCGTACGAGCCCGCTGGGAACACAGCCGTGCCGCCCTCAGCAGCACAGGCCGCCATGAGGCGCACAAACAACACCCGCGAGCCGTCCCCCGTCACCACCGTCGTGCCCTCCGCCCTCACCCCAAACTCACGGTGCAGCAGCTGGTGGGGGGGGGGGAGGGTGAAACAGGGGAGTCGAGGAGAGGGAGAGATGAGGGAAGGTGGCAGATGGGAGTGGAGGAAGCATGAAGTGCTAAGTGTTGAAATGAGGTATGGGGGAGGGTGTGGCAGGCACGCACATGCAGGATCTCAGTGCGGGGGTCGGTCTCGGCATCACTGAGGTGCTGCCGCACGAACGCCTCCACCACCAGCGGCTGCACCACGGACGGCGCTGGCAGCGCGCCTGACCCCACGTCCATGCGCACCGTCGGGCCTGCCACTGCCTGCGCTGCTGCTGTGCTGCTGGTGGTGGTGGAGGAGGAGGAGGAGGAGGGCGAGGGTGATGGGAGGGCGTGGGTGAGGGAGAGGGTGCGCAGGGTGGGGTGGTTGAAGGCGCGTGCGGCGTTGGGGTGGATGGAGATGAATGGGGACGACGGCGGGTCGTCCTGCAGTGGCCGCTGCATTGGTGTACAGAAGGTGGGGGGGAAGGCAAGGCGAGGAAGAGGGAAAAACAAAGAGAAGTTGGAAAGGAACGGATGAGCAGAGCAAAGACGGATCAAGTGAAAAGAAAGGCGGAGTGGGAGATCTTGGAGCCGAGAACGAGAGTGAAAACGGGTGCATGGGGCCTGCCACTGCTGCATGGCGTTCCCCTCCCCCCCCCACCTCAGCGACGGTGTGGCGGTCGGGGATCTGGAAGGAGAGGAGCTCATCGAGCAGGCAGCCGTAGTAGAGCTGCTTCATGCGCGCCACTCTGAAGTACGTCAGCTCGCCCATCCCCGCCAGCCATGCCAGCAGCGGCCGCGACTCCGCCAGCACAAACGCCACCTCGAGGTCGCTATACACCTGGTTGCGCACCAGCCCGCAGATGACCCCTGCATGGGGCGGCAGCGCCTGCTCCGCCAGGTACTGTAGCACGCCGTTGCTGGGCGGCACACTGGAGAGCTCGAGGTGGTCTGAGATGTCGAAGAAGACCCGCGTGTGCGTCTCTGCCGCGGCCGCCAGCAGCAGGTGCACGGCGGTGGGCGAGCGCATCTCGAAGTCAGGCAGTGCGGCGATGAGCAGCGCGGGGCGCAGTGCGCGTAGCAGCTTCAGCAGCAGGTCGCTACGCCTGGGCGCCTCCAGCACCACCGGGGTGGACTGCGGGGGGAGGGGGAGTGGGGGGAGAGAGGGGTGAAGGGGGGGGAGTGTGAGGGGAGTGTGAACTGGAGAGGAGGTCGGAAGGGGAAAGGGAAGGAGGAGGGAGGGAAAGTATGGGAGTGCTGTTTTGGCAACAGCTTCTGCTCTGCCTGTCGGATTCTCTCACATCCTCACTTCAAGCACACCTGCCTGATTGCACCACCTGTCCACACCGCATGTGACCTGCCCACACCGCACCTCACCTGCCCTCACCGCACGTCACCTGCCCACACCGCACCTCACCTGCCCTCACCGCATGTCACCTGCCCACCTGAGCGTGAGTGGCGGCATCTGAGGGCGGGCCATCAGGCGGGGCGGAGGCGAGCCAGGAGGGGGGGAGGTGGCGGGTGAGGGAGGCGTCAACGAGGGCGAGGCCCGGCAGGTAGAGGCGCAGAATGTTCTCCACTGCTGTGGCCCTTGTTGGCAGCACCACCACGTTCTGATGGGGGAGACAGGGCGCCGGGTCGGAAGAGGGGGGAGTGGATGGCAGAGAGAAGAGAATGCGGGAGTGGATGGCAGAGAAAAGAGAATGCGGGAGTGGATGGCAGAGAAAAGAGAATGCGGGAGTGGATGGCAGAGAGAAGAGAATGCGGGAGTGGCGGAATGAGAGATGGATGAGGTGCTCAAGCCGAATGGCAGGAATCCCTGACGTGATACAGATATTCTCCATCCACCCCCATTCCCATCCTACTTCCTTCCCCCTTAAACAGTCATCTCCCTTAAAGCCCCTGCTGGCACGCACCTGCGCGGAGAGGGGCGCACGGAAGTAGAGGCGGAGGAAGCCGGCGACCTGGGAGCGGAAGCGCAGCGTGCCCGCAGGGGGCTCGTCCGACGGGCACAGCGCGGGGGGGGAGGGGATCAGGGAGGCAGAGGGCGCGGGGGCGAGGGAGGCGTGGTGCAGCGTGCGCAGCAGTGTGGCGAGGAAGGGCGTCTTCTCGTCGGCCACGGCGGAGGAGGTGAAGGCCAGGTCCACTGCACTGCGCGTGGCTGCGTACTCGGGGCGCGCCAGCCACCGGAACAGCTCCTTCACCTGGTGATGGGTGCATGCAAAGGGGTGGGGAAGCGGGGGTTCAGAAGGATATGTAATTTGTGGGAAGTTGGCCATGGCATGGCATGACAAGGCATGACATGGCATGGCATGGCATGGCATGGCATGGCATGGCATGACAAGGCATGACATGCTGGAGCAAAGCAGCTTGGATGAGCACACAGGGCGAACATACAAGGCGTCCTTGTGTTGACACCGACACGGAGCAGCAAACCACCCCATACCACGCCCACCACGCCCCCACGCCCCCAATACCACTCACGTGGTTGGGCTGGCGCAGGCGGCACTCAAACACCGTGAGCCCATGCGCAATGCGCCCACCCGCCTTGGCAAACGCATACGCCGTCCTCGCACTGATAGGCTCATCACCAGTAGTAGCAGCACCCATGCCGAGCCCCATGAAGAACTCAAAGCGGTGGCGGCTCTGCCTCTCTATCTCCACCAGCGCCTGTATGTCCGTGTCCGCTGCCTGGAACACCCGCGTCTGCCACAGCTTCGAGATCTCAAACCCGCGGCGGCGGAACAGGCGCTCGCACACGGCCATGCCGGGGCGGCCGCCCATGTTCATGAGCAGTGCGCCCGCCGGCTTGAGGGCGGCGATGCTCTCCTCCACGGCGCGGGCAATGAGGCCGAGGCCGAACTGGTCCTCGACGTACCCCTGCAGGCTGCAGTAGTTGGAGAGCGAGTAGAGAAACTCCTCACTCATCGTCTCCGATACTATCTTCAACGCTGCCTTGGGGTCCGGCGTCAGCACCTGGTGGGGGGGAAGAGTGGACGGATGGACGGGGGGAGTGCGAGAGTGGAAGAAGGGGGAAGTGAGAGTGGGAGAGAGGTTGGGAAGGAGGACCAGAGAAGAGCACAGAACGACAAGGGATAAAAGCAGTGGGTGTATCGGCGTGGGTGTGCGTTCTACTGTGTGAGTGCATGCTCTCAGAAATGAACACAGAGTAGGCAAGCCAATCACCACCATGCCACCACATCGCCTCATATGACCTCATACACACATTGCCCACGCATAACCCCCACCAACTCCATCTCAGCACCTGGGGAATGCAGCCGACGATGCGGTCGAGAGTGACCCCGCGCTGAGAGAGCGTCCCCAGCAGGTCGGATTCGAGGAACTCGCAGCGGTCGAGCAGCGAGAGGCCCTCGCTGTCCCTCACTGGCAGCCCGTCCACGGGCGACAGCGCGTTCAGGTACAGGTTTATCCACGCCACCTGCACCGCCCGTGGGTTGATGTCCAACCCGTACACCTGGTGGGCGAGGGGTGGAGGCGGGAAAGGGAGGGAGTGGGACACGTGAGGAGGGGATGCGGGGAGGGGGAAAAGGAAAGGTGGGGTGTGAGTGGTGTTGGGGAAGGGAAGGTGCACAGATGGGCATAGGGATGGTAATGAGGAGAGCCACAGCAGGAGCATCATGCCAGCTCGCACTACCCTCTTGGAGCACCTTCCTGGGCGCCCAGCGGTGGGCGAGGGCGATGGAGATCCACCCGTTGCCGCAGCCCAGCTCGGCGACGTCCCGCCCGGTGAACCCGGCATCAGGGTGGCGAGTGAGGCCCTCGTAGAAGGTGAAAGACCAGTCCTCGGGGATGAAGATGGACGGCAGCTCCACCAGCGCCAGCGTCTGCCGCACGCCCCCCCCTGCACTGCTGCCGCCGTTGCTGCTTGTGTTCTCCCCTGCGGCTGCATTGCTGTTGGCACTGGCGGCGCTGGGAGCTCCGTTTCGATACGTCCCTGCAGGGTCTTGGTCTGAGCGAAGGGAAGAACGGAAGAGAGAGAATGTAGAGAGGTGAAGGGAGGAATCAGCACAGAGTTTTCCTCACCATTTACTTTTCTAGACCGTCAGCCATGCGTCACCACCCTGAACCTTCTCACCTCCCATTCCCGCACCACCGCCCGACTCCATGCACCGGGCACCAGGTTCAATGGGATAAGCGCACCAGCGTGGGGTAGCGGGGTGAGCGCACCGGTGTGGGGAAGCGGGGAGGGCGCACCAGAGTGGGGGAGCGGGGAGAGCGCACCAGAGTGGGGGAGCGGGGAGGGCGCACCAGAGTGGAGGAGCGGGGAGGGCGCACCAGAGTGGGGGAGCGGGGAGAGCGCACCGGTGTGGGGGAGCGGGGAGAGCGCGAGCGTGTGGATGCGGAAGTTGAAGGTGCGCATGACCTCCTCCGCGGGCTCCGCGGGCATCGCCGCCTCCAGCGCCGCCAGGAACCTGCCACGCGCACCACGGAGTTAGCCACGCGCTAGTGAAAGCAGTGGGAGTACCAGATATATCGAAGCTGCCTCGCCGAGCATCGAAAGTCGAGCGCAAGAAGCCCTCCATCTGGTGCGCAACTATCTTGGAGGGCCCCTTGCACTCGTCTCTTCCCACCGTCTTTCGCAATCCAATCCGTCAAAAGGACCCACAAACGCTTTAAGTTTTTAAGCAGTTGGACTGCGGGCCCCCTTTCGTTTCACTGACCATTGTCATCTGCGTATAAATAGTTTCAAAGCGTGGGATTTTCACTCATTCTTCATACAACGCGCGGTTTCCCTAATCTTGGTTTCTCTAAACCAGACCCAATGCGTCGCATTGTTTCAGTAGTACTTTCTCATCACTAGCCATTGACGTCCGACAGTAGCAAGCATACCTTCTAGTGGCGGCTTGGGTTTCGGGATTGCGCAGCGCCTTGAGGATCTCCTTGAAGTTGGAATACGCCTACAACGAGCAGGTAGCCACGGCACGCACACAGCCGCGGAGAATGAGCAACGCGGGATACGAAACGAGGAGCTCGCGCAAGCTCTTGATTCAGACGACGGAGCAGCACAGGAGTGGGAGCTCACCTGGTTGCCGGACTCCTTGCAGCTCGCGAGGAACGAATCCACGTTATCTAGCGACACCGCCATCCTTCCCACGCCCGCAGGCAGCACTCGAGTGGTAATTTACAGTGCAAACTTGTGTCCACTAAAACTTGAAATGCCTGAGAGCGACTGAAGAGAGTGGAATTCCGATGGTCAATTGGGAAGGGGCTAGAAAAATGTGCGAAATTCAAGGCTGGCAGGAGGAAAAGCAGCAGCTGTGTGCCCCAGGGCCAGGAACCTTGAAATTGGCTCGGCTGAAGTGAACCTTGGAGTTGCTTCAGGGAGGTCAGGGTGGAGGTACGGGGACAGAAAGGTTTCCCATGAAGCCAAAACCGGGGGGAAATGTGGTGAGAATATGCCACCGCGCCCGACTGGCACAGGCTTGGAGATTGGCTTGGCTCGGCAAGTGTCCCAGCTTTCGGTCAACCAACCAGCAGCATGACACATGGCAATACCTGGGAACCACAACGATCTGACGTGACGTGATTCTGGCATTCGTCATCAACATTACCAGAATGCGTCACGCCAGAAAATGCGGTTTAGTAAGAATGCGTGAGAAGCATAGTGCATTGAAGGAGGACGAAAGCCCCGGTTATGTTAGTATCTATTCTACTGAAAAGCCATAGATTTCATGTAGCTTCACAAATGTGTCAAGTATAGTAGTTCCATAACAAAAATACCCTTTAACACCATATTCTAGCATTCTGCTAAGCAAAGCCAGCGTATGGATATTCCCGCATTGCTCCAAAATTGGTTACAACTCTTGATTTAACACCTTTGATTGGGAGCAAACAAAACTTGTATATGTCAAGAGCACATTCCATGATGCTCTACATGTTGGGGGGCATGCCTAGGCTGGATGCAAGGTCCTTCATGCGTAGCTTCATGGCCTGCATAGCACGCAGACAGGGTTTGGGAAAAGGCAAGAGGGGACAGGTGAGTTGATCCACATGAGCCCCCACGACACAGCCATACCAGAGCAGCAAGAGAAGGGTTGAACAAGCACGTACCGTGACACTCTTCTGATGTGCGTCCTTGTATGCCTCCGTGATCAAGTCGCCCAGCTTCTGCTTGCAGGAGGGGGAGACAGCACCACAGCAGTGACACACATGATGAGGGACCAGAATGCTCCACAGCTACTCCATTCGTGGCAGCGAATTATGGCAGCTAGATGTGCAGCAGTTAGTCTGCCCACAGTCCAACGTCCATGGTGACCCTTCTCCTATCCCAGCGCCCACAGCTACCCTGCTCCCACGCCAGTGATCTCACCTCTGCTCCGAGCTCCATAGCAGCATCGGTGATTTCACACCGGCATGGCTCCTGGTTGCCAGTCAGCGTCACCTGCAATGCAGGCACGTCAGCATTCAAGCGTGGGAATGAGCAACCAGATGGGACAATCTCCGTCACGAGATTGGACCACGGCCCATAGTGCATGACTGGCACAATCGTTCGTTCACAATAATGGGGTGACAAGCTCCGAGTCGGAGGGGACAGAATAGTTGGCTCACGGAGTACGGGACTTCGTTTGTTTTATGATGCTTCGTGTGCATCTAAATCCATGGGGTGTATGTTCAGAATGCGCGAGGGGGGGAGGGGGGCGAGCGCAGACGCACCTTAACGAGCTCGTCTTCGCAGTAGCCGTCGAACTCAGCCCTGCCATGGAGGGAGGACGCACAGCGAGAATGCAGCAACTTGCGGCGGATCCATGCCTACAGCGCACCTCGACTGGCACACTTGTGTCTCCGACTCTCACGCTCCTATCACGTGATACATGTGAGGGCACAAGTCGCAGCGCAACACCATCTTGCACAGGTGACCATGCGAGAACAACGAAGCACTACCAAAGGCGTGAGTTGCGCTACAGAGGCGTGTGGAGGGGGGGCGGGGGAGCGAGGGGGGCTTACGCGGCGAGTTCCTTCTGCACCTTGACGGCCTCCACCTGCACCACCTGCTGAGCCTTGCGCACCGTCTCGAACAGATTCGCCATGTTGCCGAACGGCCCCGCCTGCACCGCGCACGCACGCCGCACGCAACTCAGTCAAAATGCATCCGCGGCCCTGAATCTCAGAAGCGTGCATAGCAGAAAACATGCAGCTGAGATGTTGTTATGTCGCCCTTACGTTTTTGGAGCCATCGGCGCTCAGATCGCCGTCCTTGCCGCCGCCGAAGAGAGCCCTCGCTGGACCCACCCGTTGACCTGCAACCACGGCGGCACGGCGCAGGGCGACCAACGAATATGCTCACGGAATTTGAGCATCCGCACGACATGAAGAGCAGAGTGAAAGAAACAAAAAAGCCCCCAGGATTTGCGGACATCGATGCCTAGCCTGTCCTCACGAATCTGCGACGCGACTTACCGACTCGTGACCTCACGGTTGGCTGGATGTGAACACGAGGGGCGGCGAGAAGAGACGCTCCGGAAGAGAGTGCGATAGAGGCGGCCATGGTGGAGGTGGTAAGTGCAAGGTGATAGAAGGTGAGGCGACTAGGAGAATGAGGAAAGATCTGCAATTGCGAGAATGAGTGCTGACAATCGGGAGCAACTGAGTATGGATGGATCACAGTGTGAGTGAAGGATTGCAAACGAGTGCCACATCAGAAGACTCCGGGACACGTGGCTTCGAACCAGGGGCTTGCACACTAGGATCCCAGAAATGCGTTACAGTGTCTTCGAAACAGGCAAGGGATAGCATTCGTCGCAAATACACGCTCAAACTTTCACATTTAATGATAATGCAACAATGAGTGAAGCACCTTTTCCACGAAAATATATACGCATGCAAATATAAATCTTGCAGCAGTGTAAGGAAGGACACAGTGGGCTTGCCATATCGGGTATTCTAGTGGAGCACATGGTTCCCCGCAGGGCGAAAGCCAACAAGCATGCCGGCAACGAGGAATATCGAGAATAAATATCTGACGCCTTTCAACCGACACGAGCCTCCGACAAATATCTGAATTGACCTTTTGCCCCAGAAAGAGAAAAAGTTGCAGATGCACGAGAAAGGTACACGTACTGATGCTACACGTCAGCCAACCAGAATGTGTATCGATCATTGGTGAATCACTGGCGCGCTGTGCTGACGGAGTCACCTGTAACATCCTTCGAGGACGCGGCGGGCAGCAGATGTGGACAACTCATGGGGCATCTCTCCATCTCATCCGTTCTCCTAGCCATTTATCTGCCCGGCGATGATGAGATGAAAGGAAGTTTAATTCTCAAGGGCTCCTTGGAGTTGCCGCTTGATTCAAGTTCTGAATTCCTTCGCGCTGCACCTTGCTAGACTAAGGTTTGGTGGAGGCTCGCAGGAAAAAGCATCACCGTTTCACTACCGCAAGGGACGGTACTATGTGTTCGTTCCTACACGATTACGTTGACGTTCTATTAGGATCGTCGTCTTAGTGCGTGTGCTTTGCATGTTGGGACCGTCGTTAACAGTCGAAGCGCTCAGTGTCGCATTTTGATACTGTGTACCTTGATTAATATTTGATGTTATCTTAGTTCCAGATTCCAATGGAAGACATCAGAGGTCTTGTGTTGGGCCAGCAGCATGGTGTGATCCCGGAAGCCCTTCAGCGCCAGCAGCAACAGCAGCAACAGCAGGCAGCGAGTGTCGATGGCGTGCGACAGTTAGGGTGGCAAAACAATGAGTTAGGGCTGCTGCAGCAGCAGCAGGCTCGCATGCACCAGCAACTCCTGATTCAGCATCAGCAGCAGTGGTGGCAGCAACGACAGCAGCAGCAGTTCCTCCTGCAACAACAATCTCTGCAGTGCGAACGACAGGAGTTTCAGCTCCAGCAGCTGAGGTCGCAACTATGGCAGCAGCAGCAACAACAGCAGCAGCAGCAGCAACAGCAGCGGCAGCAGCAGCAGTCCCAGCAGCCACAACAGCAACACCAGCAACAGCAACAGCAGCTTCGGCAGCAATCGCAGCAACCACAGCAGCAGCTAGAGCAGCCGCAGCAGCATCACCAACAGCCAGAGCAGACGGAGCAGGAAGAGCAGCAGAAGCAGCAAGAGCAGCAGGATTCATGGAAATGGCAGCAGCAGCAGCAGCAACAGCAGCAGCGTGTGGAGTACAAGCACTTTTAGGAGCAGCAGTGGCAGCAGTTGGCTCAGCTGCATGAACGATAGCAGAAGGAGCTTTTCCAGCACCAGCAGCAGCACACGCACCTGCTTCAGCAACAACAGCAACAACAGCAGCAACAGCAACAACATCAGCCGCAGCAGCAGCAGCCAACCGTATCGGAACGTGTCATGGACGGCACGCGGGCGTCACCGTCTCCTCATTTGACGCTCCAAGCATCCACTCACACTCGTTTGTCTCTCCCACAATCGCCACAGCCGCAATCGCCACAGCAGCAGCAGCAGCAGCAGCAGCAGCAGCAGCAGCAGCAGCTGCTGCTGCGCGCAGAGGATACAGCGGTGGCACAGCCCGCGCACCTCACGCTGCGCTCGCCGTTCCTTCCGTCAGCGTCCGCTCCCGCCGTCGCCCATCGGCCGCACCGTGTGTGCGCCGCGTGTTCGTGCCAGCCCGCGGTGCTCTACTGCGCCGCGGACGACGCGTACGTCTGCGAGGCCTGCGACGTCTTCGTGCACTCCGCCAATCCGCTCTCGCAGCGCCACGAGCGCGTGCGATTGGGCCCCAACGGCGCGCCGCTCAAGATAGACCGCAGAGGCGCGGGGTTGTCTTCTGATGCGGCCGGCAGTCTTCCGCGCGCCGTTGCGGGGAGAATGCTGCGCGGAGAGTTGGCGCAGAGCCTACTTCCGCGCGCAGACGAGTCTGGGGTGCGGGGCGCGGCGGCGACGTGCAGTGACGCGGAGAAGGGTGTGGCGGGGAGCGTGGCGGGGCCGACGGCGGTCGCGATCGGCGCGGAGAGCGCGCAGAGCGGGCTGCCGTCCAGCATGTCCGGCACGAGCTCCTCGTCGCACCCGCCCGACCCCCGCTGCCCCTCCCGCGCGCACCGCCCGCCCGACACCAACTGCGCAGCTCAAGGGGGGGTTGCTGTCGGGCGCGCGGGTGACGCGAGGAGGGGTGCAGGGAGAGGGGGGAGAGCGGCGGATGAGGCGGACGTTGCAGGGGGGAGCGCGGGGAACAGGCTGCAAGGGGCGAGTGCAAGCGGGGTGGCGTGCAGCGTGTTGCGGTGGAAGGTGCGGGAGGGTGCCGCCGCCATGCATGCGCCGCAGGACCACCAGCCGCAGCCGCAGCAGCAGTCCACGCCGCAGAGCAGACCGGCCGCGTCACCTGCACCTGCGCATGACGGAGCGCCCAAGGCAACAGCTGGCTCTGTGCGCCTATCACCAGCGTCCACGTGGTCGTTTGCCCCCTCTCCACGTCACACCAACGATTCCCTGCAGGGTGCCTCGCCGTGGGCCAAGGCAGCATCCGGCGCGGCGCATTCCCCCCTCTCCGCGCCCGCGGGGTTGTGCGCCAAGTCACATCTGCTGCGCGCGCCCGTGAGCCCGTTCACTCCCCCCAGCCCCTATGCGGGCTGCCTGCTCTCGCTGCCCGGCGCGCCAGGCGGGAAGGCGCACGCGCCTCGATCTCTCCAGTCGCCCCGCACTGCTCCTGCTGCACCCGCATCCGCACCCGCATCCGCATCCGCATCCGCGGCCGGCGGACGGGGCTTGGAAGCACGCGACGGGCGAGGCACGGCGAGGGGTGCCGTGCGGGCGGGAAGAGAGGCGAGGGGAGCGGAGGAGGTGCAGGAGGGCGGGGGGAGGGAGGAGAGGGAAGGAGGCGCGGAGATAGCGGCGGGATGGATGGACGAGCGGGTGGCGCAGGTGTGCGGGGAAGAGGAGGCGGGGGAGGCGGGGCGACTGGGCAGCAGCAGCGGGTTTGAGGAGTTCGAGGACATGATGAGCGGCATGGGGGAAGCGGAGGGCGCGGCGGGCATGGCGGGCATGGCGGAGCTGGACGACATCGACGAGGACGACCAGTTCGCGCGCGACCTCGCGCTCTGCATGACCCCGCGCGCGCCCCCGCCGCCCTCCGCCACGCCTTCCGCCGCTTGCCCCCCGTCGTCCCCTCGCGTGGCGAGGCTGCAAACTGCTGCTGCGGCGCAGCAGGCCCATCCCAACCATGCCAGCTATTTCACTCCCCCGTCTGCCACTTCAGCCGCCGCTGCCTCTGGCGCTGGCGAGTCCCCCCACGCGTCAGTGGCGGCGGCAGCGGTGCAGCCCGCGGCGGGGTGCCATGCGTCGCGCACCCACGCGCTGCCCCCCGACGGCCCCGGGCTGCCTTCGCGCCCCGCCAAGCGACAGCACCTGCGGGGATTGGGGTTTGGTTCGGCAGCAGGTCCGGGTGCAGGCTCGGGCGCAGGTATGAGTGTAGGTGCACAAGGAGGAGAGGGAGCTGGGAGTGCAGTGGGAGGGGCAGGCAGGTTGAGAAGCACAGCAGAGGGCGGAGGGCTGGCCAGTATTGCGGAAGGAGGAGGAGGTGGGGTGAAGCGTGAGGCATGGGGGGGCATGGGTCCATTGGCAGCAGTGCAGGGCGTGCAGGGCGTGCAGGGCGTGGGGATGACGTGCATGCGTGGGCACGCACAGCAGCACATGCACCTTCCCATGCACCCCCAGGGCCTGTCACCCTGTGCGTCGCTTGACCGCTGCACCCCTGCATCCCCCACCGCTGCTGCGAGCATGTCCGTCAGCCACACCCGCCCCGCCCCGCACGCCCCTGCCAGCAGCTTCCTGAGCTCCTCTGCTGCTGCTGCTGGCAGTGCCGTGGCATCAGCAGCAGCGCTGTCTGATTCCGCCATGGACGCGCGCGCCCTTGCCTCTGCCTCCGCCTCCGCCTCCGCCACCCACTCCCACTCCCACTCGCTCTCGCTCTCCGATGGCCAGCAGCACCACCAGGGGCAAGCGCAACCCCTGCAGCAGCGCACGGCAGCAGGGGGTGGGAGCTCGGCGGAGAGAGGTGCAGTGCGGTGGGAGGGCAGTGAGGGCAGGAGGGTGCGGGGGTGGAATGGGAAGGTTGGCGCGTGTGGGGGGGAAGCAGGGGGACGGTCATCAGGGGAGGCGGAGGGGGGGTTGGAGGAGGCGGAGGAGGTGGTGATGGAGGAGGGCGCAGTGGAGGCTCAGCTCAAGGGCGTCGCCTCTCACCTCACCCTGCTCGCCGCACACCCTCACTGCCTGCCTACACACCAACCCCAGGGGGAGAACGTGAGAGGCAGCACGGATGGCGAGGACAGGCGTGCGGCGGCAATGCGAGGCGTGCTGGGTAGTTTAGGGGAGAGGGGCGCGGGTGGGCGGTGGTGTCCGGCGCTGCACCTCAACTACGCTGACATCATCACTGCCTGGTCACATACCGGCCTCCAGGCGTCGCCCTGGCTGGACGACACCCCCCCCTCACTGGCCCTCCACGCGCAGCCCTCCGTGTGCTCCGACCCCCAGGTCCGTGCCCTCTCCTGCACCGCTGCTGCTGCTTCCCATGTGCTGCTTCTCACATGCTGCTTGTTGCAGCAAGCCATGTGTTGTTGTCATGTGATGAGCTTTGTTTGCCAGCCTCATTGCGCACTCACAATGTTTCTTCCCCATACCTCTGCCACTCCGCCCATTCCTCTTTTTGCGTCCCTCCCCCAGCCACTGCAGTCAATAATCAGCACGGGGCGGGAGGAGGGGCTGGAGGGCGAGGTGGGCGAGTCGGGGGTGAGCCGGGTGGCGTCCGTGCCGCACGGGCTGGACCGCGTGTGCAGCGACCTGCTGCTTGAGGACGGGCACCTTGACGGGCACCTTGACGGGCAGGTGGAGGGGCAGGTGGAAGGGTATGTGGAGGGGCGGGAGGCGCGGGTGCTGCGGTACCGGGAGAAGCGGCGCAACCGGCTCTTCTCCAAGACCATCCGCTACCAAGTGCGCAAAGTCAACGCCGACCGCCGCCCGCGCGTCAAGGTGTGTTTGTGAAAGAGGGTTTGGGTGGAAAGAGAGGGGTGCAGGGCCTCGGTGGCAGCTGGGATGCTAGATTTGAAGGGGTGAGCGATGCACACTTGTGGTTGGCCTGTGTGAATAGATCTGGAAGTTCATGTCTGGCTGTCTGACGTGATTTTTGTCCCCCCCTCCCCTTCTGTGCAGGGACGATTTGTGAAGCGAGACTTGTGAATGCACTGTGGCTTCTTGGGGGCTGGTATTTTACTCTGTGTTGTTTTTGCTACTTTATTGTTGTGTCATACTTTGGTTTGTGTCTAGCTAGACTGGATTGAGCTTTTAGATTATTTTCTCTGCACTAGTTTGTAAATTCTAGAATTAGATCCCCTATATTGCTTTTTGATGTGTTTGGTTCCATCCATATGGAGTGTAAACTACCATTGATATTGACGGGGTTGCAATGCGGTGGTGTGAGTCACAACGTGCAAGAATCCGCGTCGCATCAGGACTGAGCAGTGTGCCGTGCTGAGGGGGTTGAGGAGTGGAAGATGAATCACGGCACAACGCCGTCATGCTCCAACTGCACTACAACACCCCAACGCGATTAGTAACCTAGTTGAAACATCTGTCTTTAAGTGTTGTTCGAACTTTGACCGCCACGCCGTTAGAGCGTTTCGCGACAGCGTCAGCCTTCACCATGCCGCCGCAGAAGAGACGTCAGGCCTTCTCGATTAGTTCTGAAGCCGGCCGTTCAATCGAGCCCGCTGCGCGTCACTAGTGACCGTCGCTGCCCTCAGCACTTTGTGAGTCGTCGCACCGTCTACCTCATCGCATCGCGTCCCCCCGTCGTTGTGGCGGCGAGGCGGGGCGGCGGCATGGCGGAGTTCAACATGAGCGCGTGCGTGGCGGCGTGCGCGTCGCTACAGCCGTGCCTCGACACCTGCTACGTCTACAACGGCTGGCTCGCACCGCCCTCGCTGTCGCAAACCATCGCATTCTCCATCGCAGGTGCGAGCACCTGCCGTTTGCCCGGCCGTCGGCCGTCCGCCGTGTTGTCGTCTGCCTCTCGTGTCTCCAAGTCCCGTCCGCCATCCCCCCCACACCCCCCTCTCCCTCCCCAACCCCCTGTCCCTTTGTTTTGCGACACGGCAGGCGGGGCGGGCGTTGGGGTAGCGGCGCTGGTGGCGTGTGTCATGGCCAGCACGCTCGCGCTCGACTTGCCCTCACTGCAGGTGAGCCCTCCCGCACTCGCTGCAGGTCCGCCCTCCCCCACTCGCTGCAGGTCCGCCCTCCCCCACTCGCTGCAGGTGCGCCCTGCCCCGCTCCCTTCCTGCCGTGCTGCCGACGTACCTCCTTGCTTCGTCCTGCCTGCAGCCTGCTCCCTATCGTCTCCTTCCGAACATGCTTTTCTTTTCACTCTGCTCCTCTGCGCGCCCCTCTCTGCGCCCCTCTCTACGCCCCCCCACGTGCAGGCGTTGGCAGCGAGTGCGGACAAGGCTGAGCGCAGAAAGGTGCGCCCCCTCCGCCCTCTCTTCTCCTTCCGCTTCCTTGCCCCGCCCATCATATCCCTCATCGTCCCCCATTGGCCTCACTTCCTTGCTGTGCCGCATCGCATGCATGTCCCCGTGTCCTACCCTTCCACTCCTCCCCACTCTCTCACCACCTGTCTACTGCCCTCACGCCTCTCACTCCTCGCCCCGCGTGGCCCATGGACGGGTGGGTGCCAGGCGAGGGCGGTGCTGCGGGTGAGGCGCCATGGCAACCTGCTGCTGGCAGCACTGCTGCTCGCCAGCTGCCTCGCCTCCACCCTCGCTGCTGCCGCCTTCACTGGTAAGCCCTCCCCCCCACCCCTCCCAGCCGCCACTGCTGTGAGGCCCCCCTCCTCCCAGAAGGTGCTGAGGCACTGCGGTGAGCGCTCCCCTCCCTGGAGCTGCTGCTGGGCATCCCACCCTGGGCTGCATGGTTTCTCACACCCACCGTACTGCATTGGGGCGCATCCTATGACATCATGCATGCAGCATCCTATGACATCATGCATGCAGCATCCTATGACATCATGCATGCAGCATCCTATGACATCATGCATGCAGCATCCCAGCATGCCTCTCTCACTTCTTTGCTCCTCTACCCTTCTCCCCCACGGGTCTGTGTGTGGGCATGTCATGGCGGTGCGTGCAGAGGTGTTGGGCGTGTGGTGGGGGTGGCTGTGCGCCTTCTTGCTGCTCTTCCTCGCCGTTGAGCTCCTGCCGCCCGCCATCTGCACCAATCGGTATGCCCCTCCTTCTTGCATTGATTCAAGCTCACAATAGTTCTCACACTCGCCACTCACCACGCGCCCCTTCGATGCGCTCATTTCACGAGCCAAGTCAGCAGCTGAGACACACGCCTCTTTCCATCCAACACAACACCTCTCACCCCTTTCCTCCCCTCCTCATCCCCTCCTTTTCCCTTTTTCCGTTGCACCCCCCTTCCTCTCTCCCTTCCCACCTCCTCCACCCCTCCCCCTCCGTTCCCCCTTTTCCCAGGAGTCTGCAGGTGGCGGGGGCGACGGCATGGGTGGGGGGGGTGGCGGTGGTGGCGCTGTTCCCGTTTGCGTGGCCCGTGGGGCTGCTGCTCGACTGCCTTGTCAACCACTCCTCCCTCTCCCCTGCTGATCATGACGGGCCCGTGGTTAGTTAAGCGTGCAGGGGGCAAGATGGGGGGAGGTGGAGGATAGGGGGAGGATGGGAGCCATGGGGTAGGGGGCATGGGTTAGGGGGAATGGGATGGATACAGCCATGTACGCACAATGCTTGCTGCAACCACCACTCACCTCGTCTCTCCGTCCCTCTCCCCTCCTCTTCTCCCTTCCGCGTGCACGGCCCCTCTTCTTCCCTGTGCCCTGCTCTCCCAGAAGTGCTGCCTGGCGCCCGACCCTCAGCAACAAGAGGAGGATGAGCAGGAGGGCGAGGGCGAGGGTGAGGGTGATGCATGCAAGCTGTTCGCTGCACGCGCGGGCAAAGGGGGCAGCGAGGCGGAGTGGGGTGGTGAGGAGGAGTGGGGCGGCGGGAAGGAATGGAAAACAAGAGACGCGGAAGGGGAGGTAGGAGGGGGAGGGTGGGAGGAGGAAGAGAGGGATGGTGGCGACAAGGAGGCACACAGGCGAGAGGCGCGGGGACCCGAGGAGGGGGGGCAGCAAGGGGAGGGCGGGGTAGCATTGTACGGTGGGAGCGTGATGGAGAGTGGAGGGGGCGAGGGGAGCAGCGAGGGTGCAGCGGTGCAGATGGCGGTGCTGCCCTCGTCCTCGCATGCTGCCCTGCCGCCTCCTCCTCCCCTCCCTCACACCCATTCCACCCAGCACGCTGCCTCCTCCCACCTGGCCCTTGCCCCCAACCCCCTCGCCCCCACATGCCACACCCCCCCTGCTGGGTCTCCCCATGCGCCGCAGTCCCCCCCAGCGCCCCCGCCGTGGTTCCTGCAGTCGTGGGAGCATGCCGCCGTGTGGCCACGCCTTGCCGCCGTGCCTCCCACGCCCGCTGCTGCCCCCACCTCACACCCACACCCCTCTGATGCTGCCCGTGCGCTTGACCTGGCGGACTCGAGCGTGCAGGCAGGGAGTGCGGGGGAGAGAGCGCACGTTGCAGCAGTCAGAGATCACCACGCCACCCTGTCTGCTGCCCCTTGCACTTCCCCAGCTGCCACCCTCCCAGGTGGCGTGCCCCCCCTCCCCCTGTTCTCCTCCACTCCCCTGTGGCGCCACCGACCCCCCCTGCCTGCTGCCGCCTCCTCTTCTTCCGGGCAACCCATGCCCCCCACTGACCCAAGCACATTGGCTGATGCCCTCCGCCCCCCTCACTGACATCGTTTGAGCCCTCCCCTCACTCACTGACATTGATGGAGCCCCCCTCCCCCCCACCATCACTAACCTGCCGACACCCTGAAGCAAGCACCTGTTGCAACGAGCGGCAGCAAGCACAGGGGCCCAGTACCACCTGCTGGAAGCACCTGATGCAAGCACCAATAAGCACATGAAACTTTCACTTGGAACTAACACTCAGCAAGCAACTTCCAAGCAGCTTCTCCAGCATTGCGTTGTGAGACCAGCAGTAGCTACACAGTGCCCACTGGTACTCGCTGGTATTGCCATAGCATCATGCAACGCAACAGTAAAGCCTTCCATGCATGTATAATTAAATTTACAAGCTTTCTGGTTCATCTGACTCATGATTCATTATGCAGACATGGCGCATGTCACTTCCACAACGCAAGGTATGGTATGGTACGAGATTGCCTCAACGCAAGACATGAGTGGAGCATGCTGAAAGAGCGAAGTCATCTCTTACGTCCTGCTGCAGGCTCTGCCCAGGGTGCCAAGACCCCCAAGATACAGCAGCATCAGCACATGTGGCCTCACCACCACCACCACCACCAAAACCCAGAGGTCAACAAAAACGTGTCAGAGATGGGGTTTGAACCCATGCCTCTTTCAAGACCGCAACTTGAGTGCGGCGCCTTAGACCACTCGGCCACTCTGAAATGTCAGAATTGAAGCAGTAAAATATTGGGCTATTTATTTTGAATGAGACGCACACCAGCAGCCCTTGAGCACATCACTCGCACAACCATGGATAACCCCGAGGAGCACGAGGCAAAAGCGGAGGATCTGGCAGCACAGCAACACGAGGCGTACTATCAGCAGCAGCAGCAGCATCAACAGCAGCCGCAGCATCAGCACTACGGCCATGACGCTCACTCGTACGATCACCAGCAGTACCACCAGCAGTACCAGCAGCAGCAGCAGCATGCTCAAGCGGCGCAGGCGCACTATTATGGGTACGACGCGAGTCACGCGCAGCATCACGCGCCCCCCCATTACCCCCACCACCAACCCCCTCACCACGCTTACGCTTATCCTCCCCAACCCTACCCTCCCTCCGCCTACAACCCACCAAATCCCTACCAGCCACCCCCCCAGCCCGCCTATCCGCCCGCTCAGGACTCCGCCTTCCCCGCAAATTCCCCGCTCGCCGCCTTCTTCGATCCGCGCGAGCCTCCGCCAGCCGCGGTGGCGGCCCCGGCGAGCGAGGAGGTGCGCGGGCGCGTGGAGAAGGCCGTCGAGTACGCCGCGAAGAACGGGCCGCAGTTCGAGGCGCTCATGCGCGACAAGCAGCGCGGCCAACCCGCGTACGCCTTCCTAGAGCCGGGCGGGGAGGGCGCGGACTACTATCGCTTCCGCCTCTGGTGCGCACTCTCTGGCGCGGGGGGCGCGGATGCTGCTGCTTGGACGGAGGGGAAGAGTGCACCTGATGGGCAGGCGGAGCAAGCCGTGGGGAAGCAGGGGGAGGCAGACGGGGAGCGGGGCAGCGCGGAAACAAAGGTAGAGGGGGAGCACGAGGGGGAGAAACAAGCAGAAGAGGAGGCGCCGGGCGCGGAGCACGCGCAGACCAACTCTGAAGCCCCTCCTGCGGCCCCTCTTTCCGCCAATTTCACCCCTCCCCTTCCCCCGGAGCCCCCGCAGCCCCCCACGGCCCCCCCCGCGACAGACCCAGCGGACGTGGCGCTGCAGGCGGCGGTGGCGGCGGCGGGGCTGCCAGCGGACGTGGGGGGCGAGGCGGTGGCGCTGCTGGCGGGGCTGAGCGGCACCAAGGAGGCGATCAAAGGCGGCAAGGCGTGGGTGGCGTGGCGCGCCGCCATGGGGTGGGCGCCCCACATCGCGTGGGTGCTGAGGGAGCGCATGGCGGCGCTGGCAGGGCAGCCTGAGCGGCAGCTGCATGTGATCTACCTCGTCAACGACGTGCTCTTCAACAGGTGTGCCACCCGCCCCCCTGCCTCCGCTGCCACGGCCCTCCGGACTGCCACGCCTCAATCTCTCCACCTCACTCTCTCTGCCTCACTCTCAACCTCCCTCTCTCCACCTCCCTCTCCACCTCCCTCTCTCAACCTCCCTCTCTCACCCCCCCCCCCCACCAACGCCCCCTCCTCACCCCCCTCTGACCGGGCAGTCTACAGCAGAGGCCACAGCCGGGGGCGGTGGACGCGGTGGCAGCAGCGCTGCAGCCGTGTTTGGGCTTCATGCTGGCGGCGCTGTTCCACGGGGGGGGCGACGCGCAGAGCAGCAACCAGGAGCGCCTGGGGAAGATCCTGGCGTTCTGGGCCAGCAAGGAGGTGTACCCGGGGGAGGCCATGGCGCACCTGGGCGCGCTCATGCGCCTGCCGCCCCACCAGCACCCCCCCATGCCGCCCCCCCTACCACCTGCTGCACCTGCTATGGACTACCACGCTGCAGGCGAGTGGAACGGAGTGTGCGTGCTGTAATGCAGTGGCTGGCTTGTGTGCGCTCTGAGAGTGGGATTGGGAGCGAGTTCTTTTGCATGTGTGATTTAACCTCTCGTTGGCTTGCACCCACCTATTTCCCTCCTCTCTTTGCTTTGCTGACATGTGCCCCCTTTCCTGTGCTCCTCTTCCCCTCTCCCACCCCCCATGCACTGGCATACCCATGCACCCGCATACCCATCAGCCGCACAGCCGTATGCCCATGGGCCACCAATGCACCCCCACGCCCCTCCCCCACCCGCATGGCCCCCTCTCCCACCGCACATGACGCCCATGCCTCACGATGCAGCAGCCCCTGCATCTGCACCCGTGCCCGCCACTCCCCCTTCCTTCCCCCCTGCCCCCGCCACTCAACCCCCACACCAGCCCTCGCCCGCACCAGTCCCCAGCGCCCCCCCTGAGCCGCAGCCCCCCTCCTCAGACGCGCCCCCTGCGGCCCCCGCCCCCCCGCCTGCTGAGAAGCCCCCGTACCCGCTGTTCCCGCCGGGTCTGATCCCGGGCATGGTGCGCAAGAAGCAGGTGGGGTCGGGCGTGCCGTACGCGCCCATGGCGCCGCACGACATCCCCTCCACCATCCCCCCGCCCCACGAGTCGGAGGAGTACCTGCGGCGCCGCATCGCGCGCTTCTTCAAGGCCATTGGGGAGCAGGACCCCCTGGCCGATGGGGACGAGGAGGAGGAGGATGCGGAGGAGGCGGATGGGGGCCGGGGGATTCTTGGGGCGGGCATTGGGAAGAGAGGGCACGGGCACGGAGGGCATGGGGTGGGTGGCGGGGGGAAAAGGGGCTCAGGAGCGAAGCCACGCGCCATGTCACCGCCAGCAGCGATGGGCATGGAGGGGGGCGGGCTGGGACTGGGCATGGGCGGGGGGGGCCTTGGGCTGGGCATGGGGGGTCCCGGGCTTGGAGTGGGCATGGAGGTGGATCCGGAGACAGGCATGTTGCCGGATGGCAGTGTGGTGCAGAAGCCTGGCATGGGCGGGGCGAGGCTGGGACTGGGTGCCGCCGTGGAAGCCGATGCTCCGTCGCAGTATGCCGACGTGTATTCGAGTTTCCGCCGCATGCTCAGCTCGTCCTACCACACCTCCATTAGTGAACGTGCTGCTAGGAAATACGAGAGATAGCATGTGGTATACGTTAGATGTGAGATTGATAGCAGGATGTACGGTAAGCTGGGAACACTTACATTGACAATTGATGTTACATGTGCGAGTTGAAGAGGCGATGATAGCCTCTCATCCACCTCGATAGTTCCCACGACTATCTGGTTCGCCGAGCCGAGGTGCATGCATTCGTGCCATTCCGCAGCAACGCAATGCAACTCTCCCCGCCACGAGAGACCCATGTGGCCTTGAAAGTGGTCCGGGCGAACCGGTGCCACGTGGGAGAGCGTCAGCCAGAACTCATCTTATCCGCCACTCCCTGCTCGGCGCTTCCGCCACTCTTCCCCATGGCGCCCACACCCACTCTGCGCGCATCTCAGGGCGTGTCTGAAGTGAATTTCGACGTTTGCCGACGAAACTTTCGTCGACGTTCCTTGACGAAACTCGACATCCGTTTTCAGCTGTGTTCACTTCAGACACCCACACGACAAAATAACCCACACGTGCCATAGGAACACTGTTATAAGTTGCCCATGAAAATTCGACGTGGAATTAACAGAATCATTCATGTAACTCAATTGTTTGCAATCTCGCGAATTTCGCTTAGCATAGATTGTTGCTGGTAACACCGGATATTCTACTGTCACATTGCCAGCGAAATTTCTCTAGCACGTGTCGCTCTCGTCTTAGTTCTTATTCACGTGTGTTTGCCACAGCTATGCAGACATGGCGTGTCGAAGAATTGTTTTTGAAACACTCACTGACTACAGTGACTCAAACAGCTGCCCGGTATCACTGTTCGACATCCCTCGACATGTGCACGAACGTCGAGTTTCGTCGAGGGATGTCAGGCTGCACTTCAGACACCAACACGCGTGGGTCCCACGGATGAGTTTCGTCGACGAAATTTGACGAAACTCGACGTTTCCACTTCAGACACGCCCTCAGTCCTTCCAATTCCACCACACCACCCATTTCCAAGGCACTTCCTGCAGCCTGCTCTGATCAAACCACTCGTGCTGTTGCTGCGAGCCTGCTGCCACTGTCCCAAACGACCTTGGCAACTCCCAAACGACAGAAAGCTCTAAGGCTGCTTTCAGCTAAGCTCCACTTCAGCGCTGCAGACCAGCGAAAAGAGCGGCAATGGCGGCGGCGAGCAGCAATCCATCGAGCACGGTGACGAACATCTCGGAGTTCCAGTGCCTGGCGAAGGAGAAGCTGCCCAAGCAGGCGTACGACTACTACGCGTCGGGCGCCGAGGACCAATGGACGCTCGCCGAGAACCGCAACGCCTTCGAGCGCATCAGGTGCCGCCCCTTAGCCTACCATCGCGCCTCCCTGTTAGGCCTGGCTATTTGTTCCCTTTGAATCCCCCTTCCGTTCAAAGCATGCCGAAACGAGCAACTGATGAGCCCATTGCGACGGCTGGCAGTGTTGACGATGCTAACGCTCACACTACGGCTGTGCGGCCGTGCATCCCTGAACATGTCCCGACTGCAGGTTCCGGCCGCGAATTCTGATCGACGTGTCGAGCGTGGACACGACGACGAGCGTGCTGGGCCACCGCATCTCCATGCCCATCATGCTCGCGCCCACCGCCTTCCAGCGCATGGCGCACCCCGAAGGTGCGCGCCGCCCGCCGCCCTACCCGCGCCCCTTGCTCCACCTGAATGCGGAATGTTGTGTTGTTTGCTCACGTAGTGTAACAACCCCGAGCGAATGCCACACCCGCCAGTGTTCAGCTGTTCACCTGTCATCTCCATTGCCCTGTCCTCCGCTGCTCTCTTCCTGCAGGCGAGCTCGCCACGGCCCGCGCGGCAGCTAAATTCGATACCGCCATGGTAAGCCGGAGCCGTAGTAAGCTGGAACAATGGTATCTTGAAGATAGCGCCAGAAATACTGGAAGCGCGATAGGTGCCTCGAGCAGCAGTGACGTGAAATTCCATTGGTCTGCTTAGATGGTACGTGCCGTGCAGTGCGGTGATGTGTAGAACGGGTCTTTGCCAGAAATGCGCAATTTCTAGTCTTCATCTCAAAGCCACCACTGCTCCCTGCCTCCTCTTCTCCATTGTCATTCTTGCCTCTCTTCCTCCCTTCGTTTTCCGATTCTCCTGCGCCTGCTTCCCCTCCTCTCTCCCCCATTCCCCTCCCGTCGCCCCTTTCTCCGCCGCTCTTCCCCCGGGGGAGCGCAGGTGCTGTCGTCGTGGGCGACGAGCAGCGTGGAGGAGGTGGCGTCGGTGGGGCCGGGTCTGCGCTTCTTCCAGCTCTACGTGAGTGCCGCGCGCCCTACTGTCCCCCAATAGCTGGCCCAATCATTTTCCGCATTGCGCTGCCGCCTGCCTCGTCTCCAGCTAGCGCCTGCTGAATCACCCGCAACCCCCCCTGCCTGCTGTATGTGCCCTGCCACCTCCCCACCCCCCCCTTTCCCCCCCTCCCCTCTTGGCCCCCCCCAGGTGTACAAGGACCGGCAGGTGGTGGAGCAGCTGGTGCGGCGCGCGGAGCGGGCGGGGTTCAAGGCCATCGCGCTCACCGTCGACACGCCCCGCCTCGGCCGCCGCGAGGCTGACATAAAAAACAGGTGCGCCTCCCGTCCGCGCGCGCGAGCCGTGGCGGGGGTTGCTGCTGAAGGCGGCGAGGGGGATGGGTTGGCGAGTGGGGTGAGTTGGCGGAGAGGGGGGTGGGACTGGGGGAATGTGATGGCTGGGGGATTGTGGGACGAGCGATTGAAGAGCGCACCTAGAGAAGGGTTGTGGTTAGTACTGCGAGGCAAATTGAAGAGTCAACGATTTAAAGAGGAACAGTGGAGAAAGCAGAAGGATTAGGCAAAGAGCCATAAGATAATAGGGATTGTGGCTACTCTAGATTGCTGTTTCCGTGCCATGAACACGGGACCGTGTGACTCATGGAATGGCATGGTGGTGCGGTGTGGTGTGGCAGGTTCGTGCTGCCGCCTCACCTCACTCTGAAGAACTTCGAAGGACTGAACCTCGGCAGCATGGACAAGGTATGGCAGCATGGATAAGGTATGGCAGCATGGATAAGGTATGGCAGCATGGATAAGGTATGGCAGCATGGACAAGGTATGGTCAAGGAATGGTGGCATGGACAAGGTATGGTCAAGGAATGGTGGCATGGACAAGGTATGGTCAAGGAATGGTGGCATGGACAAGGTATGGTCAAGGAATGGTGGCATGGACAAGGTATGGTCAAGGAATGGTGGCATGGACAAGGTATGGTCAAGGAATGGTGGCATGGACAAGGTATGGTCAAGGAATGGTGGCATGGACAAGGTATGGTCAAGGAATGGTGGCATGGACAAGGTATGGTCAAGGAATGGTGGCATGGACAAGGTATGGTCAAGGAATGGTGGCATGGACAAGGTATGGTCAAGGAATGGTGGCATGGACAAGGTATGGTCAAGGAATGGTGGCATGGACAAGGTATGGTCAAGGAATGGTGGCATGGACAAGGTATGGTCAAGGAATGGTGGCATGGACAAGGTATGGTCAAGGAATGGTGGCATGGACAAGGTATGGTCAAGGAATGGTGGCATGGACAAGGTATGGTCAAGGAATGGTGGCATGGACAAGGTATGGTCAAGGAATGGTGGCATGGACAAGGTATGGTCAAGGAATGGTGGCATGGACAAGGTATGGTCAAGGAATGGTGGCATGGACAAGGTATGGTCAAGGAATGGTGGCATGGACAAGGTATGGTCAAGGAATGGTGGCATGGACAAGGTATGGTCAAGGAATGGTGGCATGGACAAGGTATGGTCAAGGAATGGTGGCATGGACAAGGTATGGTCAAGGAATGGTGGCATGGACAAGGTATGGTCAAGGAATGGTGGCATGGACAAGGTATGGCAGCATGGAGAAGGCAGCATGGAGTGCATGCCATTGCGTTGTTGTGACAAAATGAATCTCGTTGCGTGTTCAACCAGGACAGCACTGCTCGTTGCCCTCGACTCACTCCTCGTTCTCCCTCTACCCTCTCCGTCTCTGCCTACCACCACGTGTCACGGCGGTCCACACCAGTCACAGGAGTCGGGGCTGTCGTCATATGTGGCGGGTCAGATCGACCGCTCGCTCAGCTGGAAGGTGAGCTCTCCTGCTCTCAGCGTGCCGTGTGCGTGCTGTGTGTGTGGCGTGTGTGGTGTGTGCTGGTTGGATGTGGGTGTATGGGTGCCTGCTGTACGACCTTCTATCAGTTGCCGCTGCATGCTCCATTCTCCTCTTCTCTGCCAGACTCCAACCTCAACAATCCTTCCTTTCTTCCCTCCCACTCCCCATTCCCCACCTCTTTCACTCCCTTCTCCCCGCCACTTGTCTCCAATGATTGTGTGGTGCATGTGTGTGCCCGTGCACATTGCGTGCGCGTGTGTGAATGTGCATGTGTGCATGCGCATGTCTGTACGTACATGTGTGTGTGTGTGCATGTGTGCATGCATGTGCGGCCACAGGACATCACATGGCTCAAGTCCATCACATCGCTGCCCATTCTGGTCAAGGGCGTCATCACAGCAGAGGATGGTGAGTCAAGTCAAGGTCGTGATTACAGCAAAGGGTAGCTGATACTGCTCACAGCAACTCACATCTGGTATTCCCATGTTGCTCCCTGCACCTGCTCATCCTAACCCTTCTTCCACCCGCCCTTGTTCATCCCTCCCCGGCGTGGCGGCTCGCAGCGGAGATATCGATAGAGTACGGGGCGGCGGGCATCATAGTGTCCAACCACGGCGCGCGCCAGCTGGACTACGTCTCCGCCACCATCTGTGCTCTTGAGGAGGTGCGCCCTCCCTGCCCTGCCACACACGCGCTCTCGCTCCCACTCCCGCACCCATGCTCGCACCCACACCACACCCATTGCATCTATCCAGTACCCCGCCTGTCGGCACTGCATGCGGCAACATCTATGCCGTTCTGCCTGCATTGATGTCGTTCCCCTCGTATTCTCCCCGTCGTCTGTCAAGTTGATGCTTGATGCTCCACACACCGCAAACACCCTCCCACCATACCCCCTTCCCCACCAAATCCCCGTCACCACCACCTTCTCACCACCTTCCACTCACCACAACCCTAAACCCTCACCACCACCTCCCCTCCGCGCCCCCTCCCCCCACCCCCCCCTTCTTTTCCCCACCGAGTGGTGTGGCAGGTGGTGAAGGCGACGCGTGGCCGGGTGCCGGTGTTTCTGGACGGTGGGGTGCGGCGTGGCACCGATGTGCTCAAGGCGCTTGCTCTGGGCGCCGCGGGTGTCTTCGTACGTTCCCCTTGCCTACCCCACTTGCCACTGCCTCCTCAATGCCTTGCCCTCCTCAATGCCTTGCCCTCCTCAATGCCTTGCCCTCCTCAATGCCTTGCCCTCCTCAATGCCTTGCCCTCCTCAATGCCTTGCCCTCCTCAATGCCTTGCCCTCCTCAATGCCTTGCCCTCCTCAATGCCTTGCCCTCCTCAATGCCTTGCCCTCCTCAATGCCTTGCCCTCCTCAATGCCTTGCCCTCCTCAATGCCTTGCCCTCCTCAATGCCTTGCCCTCCTCAATGCCTTGCCCTCCTCAATGCCTTGCCCTCCTCAATGCCTTGCCCTCCTCAATGCCTTGCCCTCCTCAATGCCTTGCCCTCCTCAATGCCTTGCCCTCCTCAATGCCTTGCCCTCCTCAATGCCTTGCCCTCCTCTTGCACCTGCTTCCACGTATTGCCCCTACCTTGGCCCACTCAGTGTTCTAGGTGCTATTCTAGTACTGTGCCATTCTCGCTGTCTGGTACATGCCTGCCCCTCACCTTCATATCCCATCCCCTTCCCCCTCCCCCCCCCCCCCCCCACGTGGCCACCAGGTGGGGCGGCCGGTGCCATTCGCGCTGGCGGTGGACGGGCAGGCGGGGGTGGAGAAGCTGCTGGGCATCCTCAAGGACGAGTTTGAGCTCGCCCTCGCCCTCGCCGGCTGCACGAGGGTGGCGGACATCAAGCGCTGCCACGTGGAGACGGAGGAGGACCGCCTGCGCAAGGCCATCTCCTCCCGCCTCTGATCGCACTGCTCCCGCTCCCTCTCCTCTCAACCCACTTGTCCCTTGCCATTTTTTGGTGTGCCTTATTCTTGCTCGTTAAGAGCATAGCTTATTGAATGTATAATTGCATATGCTTCTGTAATGGTTGCCCACTGGCCTGAGTAAATGTCCTGCAAAGCTATCCTAAAGAAACAGCTGATATTCACACTGTCACACAGAAGAGTGGTGTAGCACAGTGTAATGATAAGTTCCTCTCACTCAGCACTGCTTTACACCGCTTCTCCAGCACTGACTTGTGCCACTGCCCTTCCCCACCCCCAATTCCTTTGCTCTGACAGTCACGCGAAGCGCCTCGGTGCCGCATTGACCGTCGTTGCTAAGCGTACATCGTGTCGCGCGCAGATTGCTCGTGTCGCGCGCAGATTGCTCGTGTCGCACACATTGTTCACCGCAGCCCACGGTGGTCCCTAGGAGCGTTAATCGTCGACGATGGTCGTCCCACCAGCGCCTTGACCCTCCGCGCATTGAGCCTCCGCGCCTTGACCCTACACACGCCTTCCACTCCCTCGCGCACACCGCCACGCCATATTACCCCTCGCGCTGCCACCGATTTCCCTCGCGCCGATGGCGGCGGAGCGGCCGCTACTGGCGGAGGAGGAGGAGGACGAGGCGGAGGTGGCGCGGGCGTGGCGCGCCGTGGAGGCGGTGCGCGTGACGGCGGACGTGGCGGCGGCGGCGCGGCACCTGATGGCGCTGCTGCGGCGGGTGCAGGCGCACGGCGGGCTGTGCGACGAGGGGCCCACCCTCGATACCGCCATCCGCAGGCACGCCGTGCCCGCCCCTCCTGCTACCCGCCCCTCCTGCTGCGCGGCCCTCATCCCCTTTCAT